GAGCAAGTCGATATATTCACCAGAGATGTTGAGTTGACCAAGGCAGATGAATTTGTCGATAAACATCTCGGAAGTATCAGTGTGAAGAGTGCGATTAAGACAATTGAAGATCGTGCTGCTCGTCAGAAAGATCGTTTAGTTGGTGAAGATATCACTAATATTCCGGTGAAGACGAGATCAAATGTCGACACCACGTCTATGCCATTAAATACATCCGAAGTCAAATTCCCTAGCATGGAAGAGTTCACTACTGCTGCTACAAATGCTACCACAATACCTGAAGGCTGTATCATTCAAGAAAACCTCCTCATCTACGCAAAGACTGGGCTGATGTATGTCCCAGAGGACCTTGGAGGCAAAATACTTTACTACCACTACAGTCGGGTCGGTGCTCACCAAGGTGCACAAAAGATGATAGTGCGTATCAAGAAACATTTCTACTGGCCGAATCTAGCTAAAGATTGTGTTGATTTTACTGCTGATTGATTGTAATTGATTGTTGATTTTACTACTGTTGATTTAACCTGTCAACGTCGTATGAATGTTACCAATCTAATCGGGAAAGGAGTACTATTATCTACTGACTTTAATGTGTTAGTGTCAATTGATTCTATTGGTCCGTTTGCGTACAAGAAGAAGGTGTACAATCTTATCACTATGATTGATAATTTGACGAAGTGGGTTGAGGTCGGTATGTACGAAGAAGCTACCGCGTTATCCGCTTGGAACATTGTCTATAGTATGTGGATATGCCGTTTGGGTGTGCCTCATAAAGTGCTTACTGACAATGGTGCCATGTTCACGGGTCGAGACTTCTGTGATAAGTTGGAGTCGCTCGGAGTTCGCACTGATAACGCGTCTCCACAGTATCCGCAAGGCAATTCGATGATAGAAGCTTTTCATCATTATTTGAAAGGTGTGTTATCTCGAAGTGTGGTTAATAACTGGTCATTTGAAGAAGTCTTGTCATCTGCGCTATATGCATATCGCTCTACACCTCACATTAGTACAGGAGAGTCGCCTTATAAGTTACTTACGGGCAATGACATGGTATTGCCCAACTTTCAGTCAT